ACAAGTGAATCCACGGCGTGGTGACTAAGCTGCAGACACAGCAGCCCCACTCTCTCCTGCTCATAACTGGAGATTTTAATTGAGCCTCCATCCATTCCACCCTCCCCACCATCACCCAGTACATCACATGAAAAACAAGGGACAATAAAACCCTGGACCTTTTTTATGCAAATGTCAAAGACGCCTACACCTCTACCCCCTCCCCCATACTTGGACACTGGGATCATAATCTTGGCTACCTGTTATCCCACAACATACCAGTGGTGAGAAGGACAATAGTGCAGAAGAAGTCAGTGAAGGTTTGGTCCGATGAGGCCACTGAGAAACAGGGATTGTTTCAGAACCACAGATTGGAGCATGTTCCAAAGCTTTCATGGTGATGACAGTCTCACTGAATGTATCACTTACTACATAACCTTCTGTGTGGAGAGCACGGTGCCCACACAACGGCTATGGAGCTTCCCAAAAAACCATCCCTGGGTGACTCCTGAGCTGAAAGTCTGTATAAGGTAATAAAGATACAGATATTTTAACCATTGGATGTCTGTGATTATTTATACAGTGAATGATTTATCACTCATAGCCGGTCCAGAAGTCCAATATTGGGTAAAAGACTAAAGCGGCTTGATGAGTAAGCAGATTACAGTTATACTCATTTAACTGATGATCATTAATTGGTTTTACCCTTGATTTAAATGACCTATTAATAAAATATAATTTCCAGTTTTAGTTATTTAATATATTCATAATCTGCTGGTATAATAGCACAACATTAGTAATGCTTATGAGTTAATCATTGTCTGGTCTGGAGCTGTTCTATGATGCATAGCTAGTTTGCAGCTTTTTCTTACTCTTCCAGGTGTTTACTTGCAGCATTTTTCCTTTGCATGTTTGTTGTGTGTTTGCATCATTTCAGTATTCGCAGCACGTTTTCTGTATGCTATCTTAACTTTGGAGTTTACAGGACCTTTTAAATAAGATTTGATGTCCTGAATTTACATACTCCAGCTTACTCCGGCTTCCTCACACAGTCCAAAAACATGATTGTTAGGTTAATTGTTTTTTTCTAAATTGTCCTTAGGTGTGAGTGTGTGTGTGAATGGTTGTTTGTCCTGTTTGTCTCTGTGTTGCCCTGCAATAGACTGGCGACCTGTCCAGGGTGTACCCTGCCTCTCGCCTGTAGACAGCTGGAGATACAGTAGGCACCAGCACCCGTCGCGACCCCGCTTGGGATAAGTGTGACAGAAAATGGATGGATGGATGGATGGATGGATGGATGGATGGATGGATGGAT